GTCAAACCATGAGCAGACCAACAAGTGAGTACTTTTCCGTAACCGAGAGCTTGGAGCAAATCGAAGACCACCAGGCTTGTGCATCCGGCTTTCGCCATCAAACTGCAACTCCTAACCCGGATCGCTTTTGGCAACATGACGTGGACTTCAAAGGCAGAGTGCCAGGATCGAACGAGGCTTATGTTCGACGTTCCTGCCCTCTCCTTCAGTTTGAACCAGCGATCATGTTGATAGAAAAGGGCTCTACAGCGTCGACGATGGTGTGGCCGTGAAATACTAACGTCGGAAACAAGTTCTGGCATCGCTTGTCGATCGACATGTCCCAAGCCAATGAATGTTGCTGCACTAAATACTTCCTGTAAGTCGAGAATGAAAATTCGCTTCACTTTTCTCCGATATTCACTGATTACACATTTAGTGATTACTCTGTTGAGGACGACCTTGCCTTTCACAGAAGGCTTTTATGTTGGTCTTTGGTTTTGAGTTTAATGGTTATGATGATGTTGATTTTATATTCCAAGCCGATTATCATTCATGTTGCTCACTAGAAATAGCGTTACGAAATGCGTCTTTTTAATGTTTTTTCGTATTTTTTGCTTGAACTACCTTCAACAGAGCAACAACGCAACTTCACCTATGAACGCAATGTACGTCCAACTACAATTAGACAGATAGCGCTGTTTTAAGGTTTTATAACGCAGTATAAAAGCATAGCTAGCATAGCTATAAAAGCATAGCTAGCGTATAGCACCATTACAGTTTGAGGATGCCTTTCTTTTAAGAATCGGTGCTACCTAAAGAATTGTCTAAATTGTCTTGTACACTCACCATGCATTGTCATGACTGTGTATAATGTGTTTGTTGTGTATTGGTGTTTTGTATTTGTAGCTGTTCTGTATCCTACTTGCCATGCCTTTGAAGGGTTGTTCTCGAGATAAAGGATGGGTTCATCGGATGGCATCGTCGCTGCTGATTTGGTCCGCTGTGGCTGGGAAATCGCCGTTGTAACCGCTCACCGTCATGCGAATCGAGGGGCGGGGCAAGAGGTATATAAGCGTGAGGAGGCTGTTGCGGAGCTTCTTTTGTAGAAGTGTCTTTACTCGAAGCGGTTGGCTTCTTAAAGACATTGGCAGTGACAAGCTCGAACAAGGATTTTCAAAGGCATTTATAATAGTTTTTTAATTGGTTGGAGCCAAAAACATCTAACAGCATATATCGCAATCATTGATTTGAGTTTGAGAAAACAGGTTCAAAAGGGATGTCAATCACTAGACATAGTCCTCCCGAACTCGTGGGGTCGAGGTTCAACCAGGCCGCGTCGGAGTCTCGAGGCAGGCCTCAGCAGGAAATGGGGCGCAAGCTCCAACCTGACAAAATGAGCTAAGTCAGGTTTGGTAGACTCGAGCTATGGACTGAAGTGTGAGGAGAAATGCACACAAGTGAGCTAGATGTTCTTCAGCGAAAAGCGGGGATGCACTGAAATATAATACCTAGTCTCACAAGGTTGGCGATTTATGGACAAACTTCCGTCTCGGACGGGACTCGAACCCGTACTTGCCCTTTCCGGGGAACGTGCTCTTATCCCTCACACTACCGAGAGCCCACTTGCCCTGTCCTTCTCAATGGCTTCAACGAAAATATTCCAACATTCATAAGCACCTGTACTGACCTTGAGCGATCTCGTTCTGTAGAACTCGATAAGGCCTACAACTGAGTCATGAGTGAGAGATTCCAGAGCAAAAGCACAAACTTCCTTTGTACACATGTATTCTGACTAATTTTGTACTGTGCTGATATTGGCCGACCGGCTCAGCCACGTTGTACGTGAGATTGCTGATAAGCTATGGCTTATAAGCCATTAAGAATTCGAGGGCAAGCGGGGTTTCGGTAGTGTAAGGGATAAGAGCGCAGTCCCCGGAAAGGAAAAGTACGGGTTCGAGTCCCGTCCGAGATTGAAACTTTGTCCATAAATCGCCAACCTTTTGAGACTTTCGGATCGCGAACTTCGGCGAAATAACAGCAGTTAACAAAACATCAAGTCAAAACGTAATATCTAGTGCCAATTGGAGAACTACATTTTTATAAAGTCTCCGATCAGTCCACACGGGAAAACTAGGTCAAGATAAGCAATCGATTGGTAAAATTATTGCAAACTTATTTAGAGTGGGAGAAATGTTCTTCAAAAGTCTATTCCTAGAAGAGTTTCAAGTGCGCCTTGGAGGCGAGAAAACTTGTAGAAATGAACCAACATGATAGACAAGTTTAAACAAAGTCAATGTACAAGACGGGGCCTTTTACGTTCGATGCCAAGCATCCCAGGGCTTCACCTAGTCGCCATATTTTTAGCAATGTCATTCCTATATTTGTGAGCTACATATGCATATGATAAAACACAATACGTACTACATGTAAACATTAGTTCCATGTTTTCTAGTGCGTTATAAATACATTCTATAATGACACGATAATTTATTCGTTGTCGCTCCTTGAGGAATTGTTTTGGAAAACATCATTCTGATATGAATTCAACAACTCTGTAGAAAATAGAGAAAAGAGTCGAGAGTCGAGTCACAAGAAATATTTCCTTTAAATTTTTCTGACATCTGTTTGAAACCCTCGCATAATGGGTTCCGAAGATATGGAGGAAGGCATGAAGCTGCGCATTAGGACTGCAGTTATCAGGAACAACTCTTTGCGCTCAATTTCGAAACCTTTCAGGCAGAGTACGGTCCATTCCCATCAGTCTCAAAACTTGAGGAGATACGTGTACCTTAAATTTTTGACTGCCTAAGCCTACACCCGGCCACCTATTTTTTGAGGCTGGGCGTGATCACTTTCCCAGCTTTTCCAGAGCCTCAGTGATGAGCTGGAACAATGTAATCAAAAAAGGCCTCATTGTTTTTTATATCTGGCCATCATAAGCTTTCTCCAAGATTTGCATCATCACCCCACAACTCTCGTTTCTGGTCCATTCAGGACGCGCCCAATCGTACGTCTACCTCAACACCTGCACCTGCTGCCACTGAGCCCTTTCTAGTGCACAGGATACATTTCCTCTAAGCGTTCTGGAGCACAACAGATACCATGGGACTCCCAACGTCTCTTCCTGCTGCATTTTTCTGTTTGAAGATGAGGGGGGGGGGGTTGATAGTCCGCGCATTTCGGTTAATTCCTTCGGCAGATGTAGTGTTGAGGACTCGCTTCAGGCACCTGATTCCCCGCTCTCCACGGAGTTCCCGTGAATTGATTGGTATTAGAACGCTTCTCCAATCAACATCGTCAGAGCTACTCGGCAGCCCTTGTCCAGATTTCAATGCTGTATAATGCTTCAGCTGCGTGCTCTTCACCTTAGCTTGCCTTGGCTACACTACAAGAGAGCATTCTCTTGTAACTTCTATAGGCAGCTAGGCACTCCAGTCACCACCACTCCTCCTTCTTCCTCAAAAGTCCTTGAAAGAAGACGCCATGTTCCTTTTCAGTTGCTTTTTCTCCTCCGAGTCCACATCACATCCCATCCAGCGTTTCTTCTGCTTTTTGCAGGATAGCTTCGCCTGCATTGTTATCGGCTTGTTAGATCGAAAACGCTTACACAGATGTTACGTCAATTATGTCACTTGCGTCCACGATCTAGTTCACTGAGGGCTCTCTCTCACTGGCATCTTTCATTGTCCACGATTTGGCGAGCGACCAGTCGCTCGATCGGTCGAGGAGGCCGCGCTAGCCATGGGTGCCGCCGACGACGGTCCCGAGCAGATCGCGCGATCGGTCGCACGTTGCTGGAGAGAGAAGTCCGCGACCAGACGCGCGACTGGTCGTGGACTATGAAAGCAGCGACTGGGGTCCCCTTTGATCGATTGTTGACGAGGTCACGTGGCGCAACCCCAGGTGGCGGATAGGGAATGAGTCACGGACCAAAAGTCCGGTACCTGCCCCAAAACGCGAATGAACTCAAAGGACGGACTTCCTGTTTCTCCTTTGTAGAGTCGACTTCTACATTCTCCAACGTCATAGATGAATCTAGGCATATGTATGTGGAGAGTCTGTTTATGCCTGTGTCTGGTTGATATTCTGCCTAACGGCTCTGCCGAAAGCTTGCATCGAAATCAAAGCCTCGTTTACTCGGGTATGGCCTAGCTATCCCAGAGTGGACAACAAAACCCCCAGTCAGACCTGGACACGGCTTGTGGGTAACCATATGTCAAAAGCAGTAATATAAATGGGCCTCACTCAACATAACGTGAGGGAGTTTCCAATACGGCAGCGTGAGTAGGACCGCTCGAGAGAGGCTGCTGAACTCTCACAGTAAAAACATACTGTCCAAAGGGTAAAGGACTAAGACATTATCTCTACTTTCAGTGCACGACAGCCAGCATTGGAAGCCTGTATTGAATATCTAATGATTCAAGCTAGGCCGGCTAGAAGTCTCCGAACTGACCCGAAAGAAGGCATAAGGCTAAAGGCCGCGTTCTAGACTGAAGAAGATCTGTCACTTGGAACATGCGACAATAGAGACGTTTTCGCTGTAGGTGAAGCCGTCATCACGCACCTGACCATGAACATTGATTCGTACGAGAGACTCGACAATCCGAATCGGACGTTAGCGATCGGGAAGATGTAGCTCAACCCCAACTTTAACAGTCTTCACTGCCATACACCAACACTAAGCTACAGAGAAGATTAGTTGGACGCGTTTTACATGGACTTGGAGAGGCTTTACAGAGAAGACCATACTTTCTCTAAGGTCAATGTCGGTGATCTCAACCAAAAGATTGGCAATTTATCTATCCATGTCGACTCACACTATCGATGATCGCCCGCAACTGCAGAAGTCCTCTCGATGAATATGGGAGTCACCATGTGAACAGTTCTGTGAAGAAATAGCCCACATCATCTTCAGCCGAAAGTTGTGCCTGACAGGTGTTACTATTGCTCCGAAGTTCTACAATTTTTCAGATCGTGGAGGGGTTGCGAAGTTAAGGAATTGTTTCCCTCGCGAGTTTCTACGAAGTTTCCATATCGATGAGGAATACAGCCGACTCGTCGAACTTCTTCACGACAGTGCCGGAAAGGTGGACGGTCTGAAAGTTTGGGAGTCGCCAAGTCTCTGCGAGACTCTCAAACTAATGCGCCAGCGTGAGATTGTGCCGGCCATAGGCGACCATTAACCGACGCCGGAACTTGGAAAGCTACGCAGATAAGCAGAAAATCTGAAAGTCTGAAAGGAACACAACTCACCAAAAGACTAAGCGTTAGCGGTGGTATGAAGAAAACAGACGGGGCAACGCTGGTCAGTGCACCACCAACTAGGTGTCCCAGCAAAATTCCTATGGATAGGCAAAAACCGAATAAACATGTTCGTCGTTCCGTGTCGTCCATAGCTACAAAGAAAGGATTGAATTCGCAAACTCCGTACAGGGCAAGGCTTGGGTTACAAGATCAGCTTTGGAAAAAAACAGATCATTACTCGCCGCTTATGGCACGCCCTATGAATAATTTACAGAGCCAGTACTCCTACCTAAGCGAATCTCTCCCAAATCGTTCTTTTTTCTTTTATTATTTTCAAGAAAATTTTCAACCACATAGAGTAGAGTAGGGATAAGCTCTAAGCGTCGTTCCTGTCCCGTTTCGATACGTCCCGTATTTGACTTTAACTCAGAACAGTAATGGTGATTTCGAGTGCGAACGTGGCCAGCCGATGTACTTGTCAAGGTTTTTACACTCCCGGACGAGTCTGTAACCAATAATCGACCCCGAAGGGCGGTAGGCATGATTAGCCTGAGTGAAATAGGTCTATGATTTCATCCCGAAATCGCGCGGGCGAGAAGTGTCGCCACTCACCACTACACCACCTCCGCTCCATCAACATAGAATGCTCTTTCATCACCTGCAGCCGCCCACAGTTTAAAAGTTTTGAAAGTGCTCTTCGAAGAAAGAATGATGAAGTATGAATAGCGGGTCTCAACTCATGCAAAAGTCAACACTCGAAGAACGACTGCAGCTATCCGGAAAGCAGCACGTTACAAAATAAGGAAAACCGAATCGGAAAGCTTTCCGAAAGAAGCAATCCCCCTCTGCAGAATATTTCTTGGGTACTTCAAGAAACTGTAACCAGTTGGCAAAAGGCGGTGCCATGACAGAAACTTGGTCGCTCCCTTCATTCAACGTTGAGTTTCTGAGCTATTAAACATGTGACTGGGTAATCTCATGAAACAAGATTGGGCATTCCCTTGACCACGTCCAACCACAGATTTTGCACGCACCGTGCTCACTTCACGTTTTTCTTTCGTTTTTATCTCATACAGCTACTCATAGATTTATACGCTTGAATCAGGCATAATGATTCCGCAACGTTATAAGCATGATTGTATGGCTGATAACGCCTGTAGCCCAGTTCCCTCCATTATGGTTACCTCCTGCTCCTGTTTTATGTTCAATCCAGCACCTAAGCGGACGATATGACAAAGCCATGGTTAACGCTGGATCGGTTCGTTAGAATCCACCGAAATTGGAAAAATTGAACTATATAGAACTAGAAGAACCGTTGAATCACAGTCATGATTCCGCTGACACTTTAATGCGATTCGTTTTCCACTGAATTTGGCGGTTTTAGTGAGAAATGCATCATTACTTTCACTCAAGGAAAGGGTCCACAGTTCATCGAAACGATTAGGACGATCAGGCTCCGTAAGGCCCCGAGTTAAACTCTCATGCACCTGTTTGCAGAACTCCTTCCACTCTAATTTCTGAATTAATCGAAGCAAGGCCCATTACAGTCCTGATGGTCAACCCGCAACTTCCGATGAATTTATGATATACTTAGAAGAACGAAGTTTCCAACGAGCGATGCTAATATCTTCGTCGTGGGACCAGTATTTCCACTGCAAGGATATTCGAACAACCGTACTGTAGATATTATGGGGAGGGGCTAACATCATCTACGCAAAAATAACTGAACAGTACTAAAAGGAAGATATTCTTAGCCATGTTGAATCTGACATGATTTCTCCATTGATCTAATAGTGGGCAAGCAATTTTTTTGAATTCACAAGCAGTCTTCAGACTTTCTCCCATTTCAAACAGCCTAACAACTCAATGAGGGAAAATTATCAGTTGAAAGCACTTACCAGCATTTTTTCTGATGTTCAAGTAGACGTATGTAGGAACAAGAAGTAAAACTATCACTTCTATCAAACCGTCAAAAATTTTTTCTAAAAGAGCTGGGAAAACAAATGCGCCCGCCAGCTCGCCTGACGATATACCCAGCATTAGAACCTAGAAAAAGAGTTGTAGAGCATAACGGTGGTAACGCTTTGAGAGTAGAACACCTGCAAGCATGCTCACAGTTATGTTTGACATCTACATGTGCACACGCGCATATGAAATACTTTTTGTAAAGAGAGGAGATTTCTTCACCGCAGTTGCATTTTGATAGTTACGAAAATAATAACCATCCGAATGCAACATTATTACATCGTAACGATTCCAAATGATAGGGGTAATTATCGTAAGACAATCTTCACTCCAAATCAGGGCAGAAGTTTAACACTTACTGATATGCCTAAGTACAACTCAACAATATCATTTTTCATTTCCTTATCCATGCTGGATAGAGGTTCCGACTGCGAATTCGCATTGGTTACCTGAACACGGGAATACACCTGGTGATCATACATCGACCGTGTAAGCTACACCTCAGAAAATTTCTCGAACTGAGTGGTTCCTGCGACAATTTCTGCCTTTCGAGAATAAGATTCCACGAGCCATTCCTATAACGTGCTTGGTACCCTATTCACGGCTCAAAAAATATGTACATACCATGTAGATTCGCATAGTACATCGTGGAAAGAATAGAGATCTAGGCGCTATATTCTATTAACTTCTACAAGTACCGGTCGGCTCGCCCGGCTGATGGCGGGCTTCCTCCTTTTGGTGTTGAAAGGGCCTCCCCGCCTGCACCTTTTTAAAATTTGGAGGCTTCGGTAAGTGAGAACAGGAGTTATTCATCACCGGCCAAACACAAACACCCAACGCGCGCCCCGTCCGCCATGAGCAATCCTCCTTAGGTTTTCGAGTAACTCAATTTATTTCCGAATTATTCAACCTTGCTTTCGAAATTTTGCTTCAAATCTGAATTAACATTTCTTGCCCGGGCCTCGCCTCCTGTGAGCGGAGTTAAGTTCTGCAGCCCGACATAGGTGCTCCCATTCTGCAACCTGCCTGTATTTCTATCGATAATGAGTGCTCTAGGTCCAAGTTGAAATTTTTCGCACTAGCCTCGCCTCGTGTAGGTGGAGCCTGGTCTTGCGACCCGCCAAAAGAGTTGACCCAACCCTGCCTCCTGCACACCCATCAAGTTTCAGCGCCCCATGTCCACGGGAACAGGAGCTAAGAATTTCAGTTGAAACCCCACCCCTTGGCCTACTGGGGCTGAGTCCTGTTTCTTTTTACCAAATTGTAGGTTTCTTGCAGAATCCGCCTACGTTGGAGCAGCTCCTTTCAGATATAGAAATCCCTACAGTTTCCAGACTAAATGCATCCTCTCCCGTTTTCCAGGACTTCGTGGAACCGAGCGATCATGTTTCGTCGATAACTCCGCCCACATTTGTGCATGCTTCATTTGATGATTGACTGATTCAATGATGGTTGACTTCATTTCCTTTGCTGATCTCTATCCGTTTTTTTCCTTGTCACCAGGACATCTTGGAGCCAACTTATGAATTTTCGTCGCAAGCTCCGCCTACTTTGGTGCAACCCCCCCCCCCCCCCNCCCCCCCCCCCCCCCCCCCACTTCGACGACTTGGCCACATTTGTTCCATTACCTCTAATCACTTCTCTCCCGCATTCTAAAACCTTTCCGAACGGTCCTACACTCATTTTTGAAAAGTAGCTTTTACCTCAACGCACACTTTCCGCCCATTGTAGGCAGGCCTCCGCCGAAGTCATTTATGCTGGGGACACCATCGACAACGCTTCCCCTACATCAACTTCTTCCTGCTCTGTTGGCTTTCTCCAAACCTAGTTATAAATGTTTTCATAAAGCATTGCATTTTTGGAGAACGCCCAGGGAGTGGGTCTCCCTAGTTCGAACTAATTTACCATTGCACAGCCTTTACACCCCGTTTTGAAGCCGTCTTGTGACTGAATTTGAATTCATGGTCCCCAGTACTGTTCACTTCGATGCACGCCACGCCCATTGAGGGCGGGGCTCCGCCAGGCTTGTATGTGCTTTATAATTCTAGGGACATGGCTCATCCATCGCACACTTGACCCGGTCTCACTGAGAAGATCTAAAGGAGTTAAGGAATTTCGTGACAGGCATACATAACTCTTTCCCTTCTCCTCAGTATTCTGAGCGCACAGATATGGAGTAAGTGTGAGAGAAAGCAAAACACAATAACCTTTGGATGAAGGCAACAGTAACAAGGACAGAATAGCATAGCGTCGTAACAACGTGGAGCATTTGTTAATCATACACAGCATGGCTTACAACTAGAATCGTGAATAAGTGACTTGCCGCATAGTAATTGGAACGAATGAAGAGTATTGCAAGCTTTACTTCGGTTTCTAAAGAACGCACAACTCAACTCATGTTGGTGACACGACCTCATTCTTGAGTCTAGCAAGGTTTTTGGGTGAAGCTACATTCAATCCTCCCGTGGCCTATCACCCCAATAGGATGGGAAGGTTCAGCTTAGAGTGTGTGGCGTATGGGCGTGGCCGTTTTAACCACCTTATTCAGGAAAGAAAAGATCCGATTAGGTTTTAGTATTTATACTTGTGCTTTAATGCCAAGTTTCAGTGATTTCTAGACATGCGGGAGTTTATATTGACCGGCTTGCCGCTTAGCGTTCGGAGCTGCGATTAGATACTTGTCGAGGAACTGGGGAGAAGGCGGCTCCCTTGTTTGAATCCCCCTTATCTGTCAGCCTGGGGTCACGGTTGAATTCGTTTACCACGCATTAAACTGTACAGAGCGAGCCCCCGGTACATTATGCTTGAATTTCTGCTTTCCGGACTAATGACAACGGTTCGCTAGGGAAGTATCTGCATAATCAAAAAGGGAACTTGTTGCCCTGCCACATGCTTTCCGTCTTTACCATCAGATGTCGGCTTGCATGAACCGGAAGCTCTCGTCAACATTTCTACTACTAGTCGGAATTTGCATGGAGCTTTCGTTATTTTCTTTGGTAATATTTACATAAGTGTATAACCGCTGAGCGCTGTATTCGAGACTGGAGAAGAACTGCTCCTTGAATTATGCGACAGCGGAGGAGTAGGCGGCGTACGTGTCTTCGTCAATACTCACTTGGCCATGAACATCGACTCGTTCGGAAGCTTTGCAACCCGAATCGGGCATTTGCGGTTATGAAGATGCAGCTCAACCCCAGCTCTAACAGTCTTCGTTGCCGTTGAGTGGAGTTTACGTCGTACCGTCCAGAGGCGTCGGTTGATCTCTGAGGGCATTGGCTTCCTTGTAGAGCGGAAGGGTATCGAACACATCGAGTAGTTGGCTGACTACTGGCTGACTGTCGCGTGGCCTCAACTGGTTGGCGTGTCTTGTCCATAGTGAGTTTCCGCAGCGTACGTGGTACATGACGTTTCCGAGGCGTCTAGCGATGATTCCAGGTGTCCAAGTAGTTTTTGCTTGACGATAGTCCTCGGCGAAGACAGCATCATCCACGTCGAAGTGGCGTGGTTTGGCTCCATGATCTCTGTTGAACTGATCCTCCATTTTGGTGTCACGACGTC